TAGGGGTGAAAACTAGGCAGGGCCTGGTAGAACAGCAAGTTGGGGGCAGCTTCCAGTCTCCTGAATCAGCATTTTGAAAGCCAGACATGCTGAGTTACCCGCCTTCCTATCCCCCCCCAGGCATGTGTGTGTATAGACAGCTATAAATACACATATAGCTCTGTGTTAGTACACACACTCCTGCCTCTGTGAAATGTCAGCCAAAAAATTATTCAAAGGTTGCTCAGCCTGGTTCAAATGCTGTTAGGCTTCAGAAATTACACCCCCCCTCCAGAAAGGGGCAAGAGCTGACACAAAGCAGCAATAACCAAAAATTTCCCAGCTGTTGTGTCTGGCCTTTTGAAAACAGGAATTTCTTGGTATGGAGCCCGAAACCTTACTCTTTCCATTCGGCATTGCCTGAGGGTGCTGGCATTAAAAGGATGTATGAGAAAGAATTTATTGTCAGCAAGGTGCTTGTAACAACAACATGGGGGGTTTTTTAAAGACCTGAGTATAGATGGACATCAGGAGGATGAGGGGGGTAACCATTGCTGGGTCTGTTTTTCCTCCCAAGACTGTCTGCACAGAGATCCACTTGCAAGGAAGCAATGCTCCAGAGCCCAATGGCCCTACAATACGAGGAGGGACAGCTCATAGCTCTTCATGGTTTAGTCAAGTTGGCTGCAGTCAGGGATAAAGAAACAGATGCAGAACAGGATGATCTCAGGAGATCCCCAGGGAATGACAAGGTCTGATGTTCTGCTTGGCCTGTTTTACCTGAGTTTTCTCTGGGGACATTGATTCTCAAAGGCTGCTGGAACAAACCCTGGAGATGAATGCAGGAATAGTCTGCGATTCCCGTAGCTGCTGTCACAGTATGTGTAGATTATTCCTAGAAACTCATGACTGGCATGGGAATCAGGTTCACCAAGACCTGAATCTAGAGTGGAAGCTGTTCTCTTTCAGCTTCCTGGTGCACAGGACCTGAGGAATTGCCATGAAAGTATCCCTGGCCAGGGCCACAGGAGCTGTCTGGAGCAGGGGGTTGGGACTAGATGCCCTTTAAGGTTGCTTCCAACTCAAACCATTCTGTGTTTCTATGAAGGAGCTTAAAATGCTCCACCAAGCCCCAGTCTGCCTTCCATAGGTCTTTGGTACATGCCTTGATGAACTGAAGCTTCAAGTAAAACACTCAAAAGCCCAGGATGCTCCTGCAGGGGTTGATTCCATGGTATATCTCACCTTCAAAACACAGAGGCCCACAGCTTTCAAACCAGCACCTTTCCTCCAACTTATAACATTCCTGCAGCTATTCCTGGGGCAGTCATAACCTTTTGACCTGGAAATGTTCTCTCCACGGCCTGTGACATTGTCCCTAGCTCCAAAGCTTGTGGGCAGTGTGTCTTCAGTGCCATGGTGCACAGATTTATGCTAAACCTCGTGCTTCCTCTGAGAAAAGCAAATCTGTGGGAGCTCAGAGCTTTCCTCCTGTCAGCCTCCCCCAGACCATCCACATCTTCCCTCCATCTGACAAACTACTTCAGTGCAGGCTTCTATTGTTCACAGAGTGCTTTGATGGTAGAAACCAAACTTTGTACTTGGAGTGCTAATTGGGTGCTCTGCAAACTCTGATTTATAGCCATATTCTACTTTTTATTAATGCTGTGTGCGTAATCACGCCACTACAGTCAGATCCTTTCAGTCAGAACTCTACACATAAGGCTGAATATTGGGATCTGTGCATTGTGATAACATTTTGAATAATCATAATCTCAAACAGTCACAATGTCATTTCTTCTACCAAGAAGGTTACTTTGAAAGGTTTCTTTCAATATATATATGCACAAAGAAAGATCTGGTGCAAAACACTTAGACTTGGTGAACACTTTAGTATAAGTGTGAAAAATGGCCTGGATGGAAATTTGGAAAAGACAAGCCATGAATTGCCTCATGGCTTTAACAAGGATCAGTTTGATTTTTTGGTAACAAATGCTACAAACACTAAATCCTGGAAAAGACAGTTGAGAAGTGCCCGGTGCTTATTTTGGCTCTAAGAAATGTGTGTGTTTTGAGGTGCAGAGCACCTGCACCTCCTGTTGATCTCAGGAGAAGGACACTACCTCCAGGATTTGGACAACAGACGATGGAAACAGTTAAACGCGAATCATTCATCACATAAGCCAGCACTAAGCAAATGATCTCATATTCATTTATGTCCCCAGCCAAATTTGTACTCATTTCTTCTGTGAAAGGCAATAAATTGCCTCAGCAAGAGTCTTCAGCATCCAGTTTTGAGCAACACGACACCCACAGTCCCCAGGGCATTGCTTGTAGTCCAGAGAGGTCATAACTCCTGCAGCACAGTGGGCGGGGGGGGTTACCGTGGTGGCCTCTGCATCCCACCTTTTCCATTCCTCCTTTTCCAAAGAACTAGTGGAGGCTCAGGACCAGCAGCCTCTGCCTCCTTACATGTCTCAAGAGACCATATTTGCCTGTGCCAAGTCTCTCAGATATCAAACCCTGTGATATCTCCCTGGCCAGCCCTTTAGCTTTGCTCTTACAGTGGGGGACCTGAAGGCCTGGGGTCATCGTTACCTCAGTGAAGTTGATCCATAAGTGAAATATAAAGATCTAATTCCTAAATAGCAGTAAAAATTTTATCATTTGGCACAAGGTGTTAGCAAATCCACTGAATGAATACAGAACCTGTAATCAAGGCTTAAAATCGTCTCCATCTCACCACAGTTCTGTTTCTGACCGTTAGTAATTTGTACCTATGGCATGTGTGCAGTGCCCAATACTCACTTCTTTTTTAGCCATCCAAGAATTCATCATGGACCTGGAAAGATTCACTAGTATATCCAATTCTAAGAGCAGTTGTTTTGTATTTTCAAGTTGATCAGTATTTCCTGTAACTGGTAGGGCTGTGTAAGAGGAGACACGCTTGGTAATATGATAATTATAGTTATATTCCATGATGTTTTATTTAAATTAACGTTTTTCCTTTTCCAGTCTAAGCAACATTACTGTGTAATTTTTATGATGTAGTCCTGTGGTTTCTAAATGAAGGGCCACAATACCCTGCAGGCTGACTGTCCCAGGGCTGGTCCATAGGTTGCATCAGGCTGCTGATTCAAAGACAGCTCCCCACGAGCTGATATGAAGCTTTACATCCCACTGCCACAGGGCTTTACACGGTAGATGTGTACCCTGGGATGTGATGGGCCCTGTTGCTGTTCAATAGTTCCGCACACACAAAAATTAAAGCAGATTTGGCAACAGTTTACCCACTACATTTTGTCCTCAAAGGGATACGGCTTTGTCAGTGTTTTGCAAGGAATTAACCCTAAGGCATGGCCCTGGAGAAAGAAGTACTTAATTGGTTCAGAAAGAGCTAAAACCTGCTCCCATAGCAATCAAAGGAGGTTTTGCCATTGTTTTATGAAGCTGGAAGAGATTCAGAGCATCCTGTGATGGCTGCTTTGGGTTATGGGACTTATGATTATGGTTTCTATTGCTGTTCTTTGAGTCATGGTTTGCTCCAGGTGCTTAACATTCAGAATGTTGTGGATTTGGTGTATGAAATAGAGACAAGCTGGGAAAATGGAGGGGAGTGGGATGGGATGGGGACTCCAGGTGCACTTTCAGCCCGTGGGGTGCAAGGGACGTGTTGTACCTTTTATTTCCCCCACTATGGAGCTAATCTGAAATTCTGAAGAGATCTTCCCTCTGTAAAATGGCTTAATACAGAAAGACTTCATAGTGGTACCAGGGATGATTATGTTGATGTCAACCCAACTGAGAGCCCTGAGACAAACACTCTTCCCTCTGTAGCTGCAGGTGTGGCGGAAGAGCAGTTCTGGGGAAGTATATGGTAACAACAGTCCTTTCTTGTAGGCAAGGAGTTGTCACAGAGTGCTTTCAGGAGCAGAGCCTGTCCATGCTTATCCCAGGAAAGCTACAGCACCCATCTGTACAAATCCCTTTTGCACACCTTTTAGACAGTGTCCACAGATTTCACTAGAAATGTTCAGGTAACGCTTTCCAACAATGTGAGAGTCCAAAGGATGTTGTTAAAAACCACCCTGGCTGGAACTGGCTGATCTGGGAAATCTGGCACTATGAAATTTGTAAGATTATTCCCGCTGCCTACATATGTTAGAGTTGTCTGTATGTAAAGTGAATATTAATGTGCAAAAAAACCCATGTACTCACAATTTAAGGAGTCCAGGGGAGAATCGTTGTCATTAACCAATTCATGAAACAAAGGACAGCAGGAACAATCTGCAGCAATTTGCCCCATCCCTGGAAGTGCTCAAGACCATATTGGATGGAGCTCTGAGCAACCTGGTCTAGTGGAAGGTGGAACTGCCCATGGCAGGGAATTGGAATGAGATGAGCTTTAAGGTCCTTTCCAACCCAAACCATTCTCTGATTCTATGGCGAATGAAAAGAAGGAATTCTCCCTAAATCTGCAGCACTATCAAAATCTGCCTGTGAGGTTCAGTGTGGAAACAGCAGGAGAAGGTATCTTATCTCCAGATGTATGGGGAGCTTATTGTAAGGACTGGACCTGGGTCTCCCAAGCTCCAGGCTCTGACTCAAATCACCACACAACTCCTGCCCTCTTCCTCTGCTGCCATTGATCCGAAAAAAAGCTGTGGCCATAATCTGGTACTAAATCTCCTCAGATCAAATAGCTTTGCTCTTAACGAAATAATCCCATAGAATGACTTGGCTCTCAGCTGGGAGCAGGAGGAAGATCTGGGCAGTGTATTACAGTCAGGGCATGGCACCAGGAAATTAAGCTTTATTGTGTGTGCTCTGGCAGCAGAGCGCACACGGAAAGGATGTTTATGGCATGTGCCCCACCATCTCGTCTCTTAATTCTTAATCCTTTGCCCTTCACAGTATGGCTGGGGAGTCTTATCAGGGGAAGGCAATGCTAATTTCTAGTCTTACTATTGAGGGGGAAAAAAAAATTCTGGCTGTGAAATTTTCCTCCTTTCTCTTTTCAGGCTGCCGGATGAGCTCTGCCCTGGAGTGAACGTGTCAGATGGGGCACAAGCCAGAGGTACCAAAGGTAGGTTCATCACCAAAAGACCTCCATCCTGAAACCCACTTTCCTCTGCTGCTGACAGTCACGAGGCCAAGACCACCACCGTGCCTCCTGTTTGGGGCTCAGGGCAGGTTTGTGCATCACCGCTGCTGCCCAAACCCACACAGTAAGGGACAACAGAGTCACCTTGAGACCAGCTTGTTTGCCACAGGCATGTTAATAAGACTATGGATTAGCAATATGGTCTTTAAAAGATGCATTATTGTATTTTTCCCCTCAGCTTTAGGAACCTGGTGGTGGTAACGGAAGTCTGAAGCTGTGGCTTTGGTTCCTTTCAAATTTAAAGATTAGATACCAGACCAGAAGTCAAGAGATTTGGTGGCTGGTCTTTAGCTGTACTGTAAATCTTTTTCCATTTCCTTTGGCCAAATCTGGGAGAAAAAAGCTGGAGTCATGACTCAAAGCAAAATCCCCAACCACTGTCGAGTTGCTGACATACTTCTTTCCCTCCAGGAAATCCTGTTACAGCGGTAAATTCCTAGATTTTATTTTAGGGTATTGTAATCCTGATAGGACCTGTCCCTAAGGACCTGTTCCCCAGAAATATTTGTGATTTTCATGTGTCAACAGTAGTGCTTACAGAACCTTCTATTTTATTGCACCTATGTTTGAGATGTATTTTGCTGAGCATGGCCTAAAGGAGGTGCAAAAATGTCAGACTGGTAATTTACAGTAAAAAATTATTCCTGAGAGGCTTTTCAGGAGAAAATGAGGAGATGCACATTTCGGACACAGTGCAGATATCCAATAAAGCAAAATACAAGTCTCCATAACTCTAGAGCTGCAAGTGACACATTTTAATCGGAGCCCCAGGAACGAGGAGTTTGTGGTTCATTCCCACTCATTTAACACTTCTCAGCCTCTGTGTGAGCTTGAACTTGCAGTTCATTCAACATATTAACACTAAACATTGTTGAAGCCACCAGGTCTCTCTCCAATGTATGTCCTATCAAAACTATTTATTTTACAGGATCTCTCTGTTCCCAAACACATAGTTGTTTAAAATTTCCGGAAAACATTTGGTTGGGCGTGTTCAGAACTGGACCTTTGCTCACTGACAAGGTTCATGAACCTTCACAACTCTCTAGGTGAACTTAGCCTGACTTTCCCATGTATAACCAAATCCCAGTCCAGGTCAGTCTCTTTTGGTTTCATGTTTCACTACCGACATTTTTTTACAGCTCAGGTTTTAAAGACCCAAGCCTGGGACGGATGCAGGGCTCCCATAAACACACAAAACAGCCATGGTTATAGTTGTGCATCTCATTTGTCGTGTCTGATGCTGGAATGTATTTTCCTGTAGCAAAATCCTGGAGTAACTGTGATGTGAATTAGTAGCAAAGCAGGAATAGAAGGGGAGTGTTTACTGGTCATATGTTAAAGTAATTCCACCAAAGTTTGATTTATTCCAAACCTCTGTTTGGTCTAAGGCATTGAAAGTTTGCAAAAATACAAAATGTTGAGGGAGGCAGCTCGGTTTGTTCTGGAATGACCACAAAAGGGCAAAGACATTGTCTAGAAATATACACTATAATGCATAGTATGTCAAGCCTGCCAAAAAGTCTGAATTAGAGAATTCTCTCATGCTGTTTCCTTGGAAGAGCCCAAAGAGGCGGTGCTTTCTGTCACCGAGCGTGAGTCAACCCTCAGAGGAGGATGCTCAGATGGAAAACAGATCGAAGGAGAGCTCTGCAGGCTGTGCTGCTGCAGGTCCTGTCCCTTGAAGTGAAAAGCAGAGGAAGGGAGGAAAAGTGAGATCGGTAACAGATGATGTGATGGCAGTGTCAATCACAGTGGAATTCCATCCTGGCCCTGTGTTACAGCAGGGCTGGGAGTGCTGCTCCACCGAAGGCTGCGTCAGCACTTTGTTTAGCTTATACACAGGTTCATTATCAGCCCTTTGGGCTGGGGCTGACTCTTCTAGGAGTTACTGTGGCAGCAGTTCTTTCAGCTTGTGTATAGTTCAAGAGTTGTATAACCTCTCACCCCTGCAGCCTCAGTCCCAGCTTATCCCACCACAGCACAGTTTTCTTGGGGAGACTGGGGTTGTAAGTCTGAAATCCAGGCTCTACAGCAAAGACAGGGGGTTGTGAAGGGTTCCCCCATCCTTGGAAAACACCTGTGCCCTGAGCTAGTCCTTAGACTGAAAGTCCCTTGGTGGCTGAGAGAGTTGGGACTGTTCAGCTTGGAAAAGAGAAGCTCTGGGGTGACCTTAAGGGTGCCAGTGCCTAAAGGGCCTTCAAGAGAGATGGAGATGGACTTTGGACAAGGGCATGGAGTGGCAGGACAAGGAGGAATGTTTTCCCACTGCCAGAGGAGAGGGTTGGATTGAATATTGGAAAGAAATTTCTCCCTGTGAGTGTAGTGAGGCCCTGGTACAGGTTGCCCAGAGAAGCTGTGGCTGCCCCATCCCTGGAAGTGTTCAAGGCCAGGTTGGCCGGGGCTTGGAGCAACCTGGTCTAGTGGAAGGTGTCCCTGCCCTTGGCATGGGGGTGGAACGAGATGAGCTTTAAGGTTCCTTCCAACCCAACCATTCTGTGATTCCATGATATTTTGGGGCAGTTCCCAGCTAGTTGGAATATGAACACCCCATGTGCCAAGGACAGTGATTTACAATTGTAAGCAGAGAAATTGTCCTACCTAATCAGTTACCGCCTGTCAGAAAAGCTGGAATAAATATGTCTTCTTATCCAGTTCTGCTGTGAAGTAAAATGCAATGGCTTAAACCCCCCTATCTTTGTCACAGGGTGTGGCTGCAGCCACCTTACCTGATGGGTAACCCTTGTTAACTCCATCAGACCAAGCTGAGAGAACGAGCAGCAATAACTTGCCAGAATGAGCTGCTGTTCTCCCAGAAGCTCTGGTGTTCCTTAGGTAGGAAAGTGCAGCACCACTGGCTGTGGCGTGAAGCCTCTTGCTTAAATCAGTCTGTATTCCTGGAGTTTGGATAGTGGTAAATATGTGACCAGTTCCTAAAACGTCTCCTGGGACTCATATACCAGGAAGCCTGACTTCTCTGTCAGACAGACTGGCAGAAATGTTAGAATTAGTAGGCACTTGGATGAAGCTGACAGACTGGGGAGGAGTTACTGTGGCATTTGTAGGGAGAAATCACACCTCTCAAATATATTACAACTATTTGAAGTGTCACACAACCCTTCACTAAGGCTGACAGAGTGAGAAGGCTTTTAACAAGACCTTTCCCCAGGAGGGGTTTGCTATTATTACAAACTTGTAATAATAGCAAACAAAGGACAGGAGGAAATACTTGGATTTTACAGAGGAGTGTTCTACGAACACTCAGGAGTGTGGCAGGGAAAGTGATCATGTTTGCTAATAATACTTAATTATTTAGAGCTAAAGTTGACTGCAGAGAGATGCAGAAGGATCTCCTGGTGCCGGGGGGATAGTGAGGAAAATGGCAGATGAGATTGGATTTAGCCAAATGTAAGGTAAAGCACACAGGAGAAAGGGACCCCAGCCACAAGCACATCCAGTTATCACAGCTCCACAGAGTTTACTATGGATCAGCCTCTACAAACATCAGCTTAGTGTTCACTGGAGACCAAAAGGTAGGACTTATCACAGACAAATAGCAAACAGCACAGAAAACACTCTCTGTGATTATATAAATCCCTGGAGTAGGGATTCTGTGTGCAGTCCTATTCATCTTTCTCATGAAGGACATAGGGGAAAGCTGTGGAGGAGGAAAACAAGTACAGGAATAACTGCCCTGAAGGGATATGAGAGAGGGCTTTCAATCACACAAGGCATGGAGAATACAACATCAAAAGTCCTTGTCAGGGACTGAAAGTGGAAGCAGATTCAAGTTGGCCAAAGGGACGTTGTGCACGGAATCAGCAAACAACCTCTGCTAAAAGGCACATGGTGAAAAGCTAAGGGCACTGCTGCCTTTTTGTGCACAGCTGCAGGATGGAAGAGACTTCCCAGGAGCAGGTGTGTGAACCTGGACTGGTTTATAAATCAATCCACATCTTGGTGGGAATCTGCCATTCTGGTAAAGGAGCTTTGGGTTTCAGTACTTACTTTTGATTTACAAAACAAAAACCAGGTAAGGTTATCTACCCTTGTTCTCAGTGCAACAGTTTAAACTCTCAGCTGAGATCCTAGTGGGAAACTTGTCCTGAGAAGTCCTAAAATCTGGTGATGCCACGAACTGAAAAGGGTTGTTCATAGAACAGTAAGTGAAACATCTCTAGTGACCAGTCTCACTATGAAAGTCCAACAAGGCAAGCAGTAGATCTTGGAAGGAGATCTGGCCAGACAGACGAGTATTTGATGATAAGAGAGAGGCTTTGGGATGTAGTGGGGTGGAAATACTAATGAAACACAGAACCAGAGGAGAGGGCTGTCTTTCTGCTAGGATTTGAGCTATTTTTGTGCTGTGTCACCCACACCAATGTTCACAGCAGCTCAGCTGTGTCCTTGTACACCCCCGAAGTCTGTCACATAGGTACTGTTTTACAGAGATTTTCTAAATTAATGGAGGAGTTTAGCTTTTCCAAAGAAAAACGTACACAGTTTCACCATAAGTGTCCAAAGCCCTGAAATCCAAGGTTGAATGGCCAGGAGTGAGGGGCTTTGTTTCCAGCAAGCAGGTGCTTCAAGGCTGCAAAGGAAAGACACCCAAACGATGAGCTAAGCTGGAGCACTGGAGCTGCAGCAGGAAGGTGTCCAGTGATTGTTGGAGAACGGCTTGTCTTGGTCGCTGCCCAGGATGATTGCATGTTAAAGCTATTGCTCTTCCCAGATATCCAGCACGCACTGCGAGTCCGTGGCCAAAATCAATTAGGAGCGATCACATCACACCACAGAAGGCAAAGACACTGTCAGTCTTTCATTGAGCAACAGAACTGCTCATGAGCTCACTGAGGATGTAACAGGAACAGCAACGGGTGAAGAGTTCAGGGCAGATTATTTATGCGTCGGGTTTCCTCCCGTTC